AAAAGATAATTTGAAAAAAAAACATAAGATAAAAAAACATATAAAAAACATAAGATAAAAAAAATCCATCAACTCTTTATGCTTTTGCAGATCATAGATCAAATTTAAAATCTGAAGAAAGTTTTAAACAAAGTAAAACATTATTCCAATCTAATATATTAAAAAAATTAAAAATTCTAGTCTATATTAAACAAAATAATAACATTAGTATATTAATACCAATACAAAATACAAATAAAACTAAAATAAGAAATATACAAATAGAAAAGCTTGAAATTAACTTCATAAACTAATAATATTAATGTAATAATGTCATATTTTCTAAAATAGCAATTTAAATATTACAAATATTATCATGTCTTTTTAAACTGATAACTGCAACATATTGCAATTTCCACAACAATTAACCATATTTAAAAATCACCTTTAGACATTTTTAAATTTTAATTATTCTTCATTTTTTTCTTCTTTTTCTGAAAAACTAAAGGGGACTTTTTTACCTTTAGAGCGCAAAAATGATGTTAGGAAATTGCAACTTAAAACATGTATTGAGTATATTTATATATATACATATATTTAAATATATATATATATATATATATATATATATATATATATATACACACACACACACACACACACACACACACACACACACACACACACACACACACACACACACACACACACACACACACACACACATACACACACACATATATATATATATATAAAAATATATAACAGATTTAAGCAATTTTAATATTTTATAACAAAACAAAGTTTGGATATTAAAATTTATTTACAAAGAGTGGTTAAGATAATGGTAATAATAAAAAAAAATTTACTTCGGATCATTATTTTGAGTGAAAGTTGAAGGTTTTGTACTGTAAAGAGGGTTGTCAACTCTTCTAAATAAAAAAAAATAAAATGTAAAAATGTCAACTCTCCTTACATAACTTAACTGTTTTAAATAACAAAAATAAAAAAAAATAAACAGCACAAGATTTTCAATACATATTATTAGCTATTGTGTTCATAAATGAGTATATATATATATATATATATATATATATATATATATATATATATATATATATATATATATATATATATATATACATATATATATATATATATATATATATATATATATATATATATATATATATATATATATATATATATATATATATATATATATATGTATATATATATATATATATATATATATATATATATATATATATATATATATATATATATATATATATATATATATATATATATATATATATATATATATATATATATATAGACAAAAAAACATACAAACATTAAAACTTTAAATCAAATTATTTTTACTGTTAAAGATTAAACTTACGTAGCCCTTGGTATATATGATTCTGCACTATTATACTTATTGATAGGCCAATCAATACCACCATCTACTTTATCATGATTTATATTCTCATAGCCAGGAACTTGGTGACTGAATATAAAAAGTTCTTTATACAAAATATATAATTAGCAAAAATGATCATAAGCTTTATGTTATCATTTTTTTGTTTTTGGTTTTCGTTTAAAACAACAAATGTTACAAATACTAACACCATTAATGTTGTAAGTACTTAAACATACTTTACATAAAAAGATGCAGGAAATGTAAAAAAAAAGAAAACATTAACTTACCTTGTATATAAAAGTGCAGCAAATGCTAACAAAATTACTAGAAGGACAATAATTGAACCCAAAACAACAAGTCCAATAATATAGTACAAACTTGTACCAGACAAATAGAATGGTAAAGATGATGAAACACCTTTTAAGATATAATTATAGACAAAAATTATTTTAAATTATTTTAATTTTTTTTATTTTATAATTTTTATTTAATTTTAATTACTTTTTAACTAAAAATAAATAAAAAATTAAAAAAAAGAAGACCTGAATAAAGTACTTTTGAAAATGGTGTTACTGTTTTTATTCCATTTTTAAATCCAATAAGATGAAATCTAAAATTTTTTAAAGCTTATATAAATTTTTTTGTGAAAAAATCTGAAAAACTTAAAATACTTTACGTTTATATAAAAACTATTGTTTGAAAAAAACTATACAAAAAATTGTATGAAAAAAACTGTTATGCACAACACTTTAAAATTCAATTTTAACTGCAAAAAAAAAAACTTTATTTGAACAATGGAAAAAAAATGTTTTTTTTAAATAGTTAAAAAGAACTTTTAGAAAATTAGCAGATCAGCAATATTAACCTGTGGTACTTTTTATGTCAACAAAGCTATATCTTAAATGCTAGGTTGCAACCATGATATGGTTAGAACAATAGAGGAATATTAAGCTATGACTTATGATCCAGACTACAAGCTATGACTTATGACCTCATAAATAAATTAGTAAAAAATAGACTTAAGGTATTTGTAAAATCAAATTTATTGTTTTTAATATTGAGTTTTCATGATACCTGTATGTTTGACCAGGCTGTAGTTTACCATTGCATGGAATTTGTGGATCATTTTGTATGCTGCAAGTTTCATTTCCTATTGTTAATTGAAGTTTTCCATCTGCACTTATGTCACGACGTTTTCTTGTAAACTGGTTGTTATTAACTACAAGCGCTAAGTAAGTTTTATAGTAATCATCAGTACCATCTAGTGCAACATTTGTTAAAAACCATGTAAGAGGTGGTAAATATGCTACTCTTTCAGCTGTTAAAAAAGTATTTACATCATCATTACAAAATATTTTTAAAACTTAACATAACATTCAATATTTACATATAAAAAAAAAACAAATTTTACATAAAAAACACTTTCTTATGTTACACACAAAAGAACAATTGCAAACATTACACAAAAAACGCTTAACCAGTTGTTACTTAATAAAACACTTACAAATGTTCTACAATAAAACACTTACAAATGTTCCATAATAAAACAATTACACAAGCGTTTGACAATAAAATAATTGACAACTGCTCCACACAAAAAAAATTTTCAAACATATTAACCAATATTAATAGTAAAAAACTCACTAATGCTAGCACCAAAAACAAAACACTTAAATATTAACAACAAAAAACATAAATTTTCCAAGCAAACAAGATGTTACCAGCAAAACATGAACAAATAACACAAAAAATACAAACAAAACACTCACAAATGCCTTGTTTAAACTTTTGAACATAGACATTTAGTGTCTTAAATTGCTTCCATGTCTGATTACTGAAGAAATCATCTAAATCTACATTAACATTGATATATTCTGCATTTGGAGCAGCAATAGCTTGAACATTAATTGAATCCAAACTTGAACTAGCAAATACTACTTTTAATGTTTTAGTTGCATTTAAGTTATGTGAAGTTTGGAATTCGGCAACAACAGTAAGAGTATAAGGTGCAGCAGTTGTTACTAGGCGATTTAATGTCAAGGATCCAGTAATGCTGTCAATACTAAAAGTTGAGGTATTATCCAATGTGTACTTTATAGGTGCAAGATTTTCTGGATTTATTACGCTAATTACTGTTATTTCCACATTAAATGGCCAATTAACTGGTAAAGTTATCTCAATTAGATCATTATTAAAATACGGAAGAATTTTGGGCACATTTATGACATTAACTATTAATCTTGTATAACAAAAACGTGTTTCATCTTGTGAACTAAAAACTTTAACAAGTAAGTAATATGTTTCGACAGTAGCATTATCAACCGTCACATTTGTAGTAATTTTACCTGCATTATTAATGGTAAAATTACTGTTGTTAACAATTAAATATATAAGATTTTCATCAGAAATTTGACTTATAGCAATATCGGAAACATCAGCATCACCAATACCCGACTCTTTAATACTCACTTCCATATGCCATTTGCAAATGGGAGGAAGATTTATACTTATTTGAACTGGTAGCAAAGTTTGTAGTGGTGGACTACCTAAGTCTTTAGCAGTAACATCAAATTTATACGTCTTGTTTAAAACAGCTGTTGCTTTTATCTCACCAGTTGTAGAATTTATTGAAAATGGTAGACTTGAATTAGCTATACTGTAAACAACTACTCCATTGTTACCAGAATCAGCATCAGTTGCTGAAACTTTTAACAAAGTAGAACCAGCTTCAGGTTTAGAAGAAAATACTTTATCATAATTGGATGATACAAAGACGGGAGCATTATCATTAATGTCAGTTACAACTATTTCTACAGGTATGAAAACACTGTTTATACTGCTGTCAATCTTCACTAAAAAAGAATAACTACTTTGAGTCTCATAATCAAGTTGAGAGATGTTGGTTATTATTCCAAAACTATCGATAGCAAATGTACTTTGCAATGGGATAAGTGAATATTTTGTTATATCAGAAGTGTTTATGTCTATTTTTAAAATAAAGTTATCACCTTCAGAAATAGCTTTTATACAATAAGAGTAGCCTAAACATGTGGTGCTATTTGAAATAGAAACAAAAGTTATTGTAACATTGGTGGTTGTTTCAAAACAGGTATTACTTGCTGATATGACCAATTCATACATCATGCTTGTTGATATGTCTTGTTTTAAAGAAATTTGTCCACTTTGAGAATCAATTGTAAAAAAACTCTCATTTACATTTTTTATAGAATAGATCACAGAACTCGTATTCAACTGATTTGAATTACTTACTTTCATTGTTTTTACAACAAATTCAGCTTTCAATGGAGTATAAAAAAAAACGTCAGCATTCTCAACAAATACAGGTGCGTCGCTGCAGTCAGCTACAATAACTATTACAGCAACTGAAACATTGCTATATTGAGTAGATGCTGTGACTACAAAAAAGTAATATTTCTGATCAAAATTTTGTGTAATTCTAATTTCTCCACTATTCTGATCAATAGTGAATTGATTATTATATCCAATAAGTGAATAAGATATTGCAACATCTGATGAAGCATTTACTGTTCCTAGGACCATATTTGCGCTATTTTTTGGAGGTTTATATTGATAGAGTTGTTGATCAAATGTTACAGGGAAAAACTGAACATATATCATTACATGAGCTTGGTTTGCAGCACTATTTTTATTATCTGAGACATTGACAATCAAATGATACATATTGGTACTATAACTAAGTAATTTTTTGGTACTGATAACTCCAGAATTGTCAATTGAAAAAGTGTTTGTATTATCAATTAGAGAAAAAACTAATATTGTACTTTTGTCTAAATCAGTTGCATATACTACAACAACATTAGTGTTTACAGCAGTATTAATGGGGATTACAACTGTGTAATTGGTAGGATAAAATACAGGAGCATTATCATTAACATTTGTTAGTTGTATTGTTACTACTGCTTTAGCTTCATAACTACTACTAGTTGCTACAACGATAAAAGAAAACTCTTGCCACGTTTCATAATCCAACACTTTACGAGGATAGATTTTATTATCAAACCCAAATGAAAACCACATTTGTGCTTCTAATGGTTCAATAGAATAAGATATATTGTCTCCATTGTCAAGACCTGTTGCTACAATGCCTGATATAGAAATATTTGAATTCTCGATAAAATTATATAAGTAACTTGAGTTACCAAAAACTAGGGCACCATTAGAAACCTTGATTGTGAAATTCCAGATGTCTGAACTTAAAATTGGTGTTCCATTATCAGTGACAACTACTGAGAGATAATATAAGCCTGCTTGCTGATATGTTAACAACTTTTGTGTTAAAATGTTTCCATATTCATTAAATTTAAAAATGTTATTATCATTTCCTAAAGTTATTGAATAGTTAAGCACCCCATTTTGAGAATTAGGGGAATCAGGGTCTTGAGCAATAACTTGTGCCACCAGGGTACCAATGGGTGCATTTTTAGAAATAGGGAACTTTAAGATATCAGTAATAAGCGGTTGATGGTTAATTTCACGAACATTAACTATGATTTGAACAAAACGACTCCCTTTATTTGTAACAGCATTTACCACAAGAATGTACTTCGATTGTTTTGTATAACTGAGACTGCTTGAACTCCATATTTGACCTTCTTCATTTATAGTAAAAATATCAGTGTAGCCAATCAATGAGTACATTATGGATAGACCTGTTGAATTCTTTACAAACACTTTAGTGATATACTGCTTGCTAGTACTTTCATTGACTGTTATGTTGTAATCAGAAACAAAAAGTTCGAAAAGACCATCTTCAAACTTGACAACATTGACTTTCACTTGTACTGTTGTATTTAGCTTAGGAACTCCATTGTCATATATCATAACTTTAAACAAATACATAGAATTGATCATAGAGTACAAAAGTTTTGTTAATGTAATAACACCTTCATTATTTATTGAAAAAGTATTATTGATGTTACCATCTTTTATTTCATAAGCCAATTCACCATTACTTCCACTGTCTAAATCATTAGCAAAGATGGTAACAATTTGCGTATTTAACAATGAAGTCTCTGAAACATTAACTTCATAATAAGATTTCTCTGCAACAGGAGCATTATCGTTGATATCGAGAACATCAATATGAATACTAATTGAGGACATAATAATTGAATGACCATGTGCCTGTACACATAGGTCAAAATATTTATTTAATTCATAATCAATGGGCAGAATATTTTTTAATTGTCCGCTTGAGGTTATTTCAAAGACACTATTATCACGACCGGGATTCATTGTATAGTTCACAATTTCAGGTGATAAAGCTGTTAATGTAAAAATAATTGCAGAGTTATTTGTTTCACTTAAAGAAATATAATAAGTTGTATTCTTAAACTGAGGAACTTGTTCTTTTATCACATAAGCGGTAAATGACATAGAGCTCTGATTAGGAGAATCTAGATTATATGCTATAACTGTAATACTGATTATATCAGGAGTGTCATGTGTGAAAGATTTAAGAAGAAAAATTTGACCATACTTATCAATGGAAAAAGTATCATTTGGGGAAACGTTATAGTCTACTTCAGCATTTACACCAATATCAGCATCTGTGGCTTTGACAGTAGCAACAACTGAGTGAACTGGTGAAAACTCTGATAAGATTATGCTTATTATTGGAGTATCACTGAACACAGGAGCATTATCATTTACATCTGAGATATCAACAATGACTAATGCTTTATCAAAACTGCTGATGTTTGAGTAAGCTAATATTTGAAAAACATATCTATCTATCTGTTCTCGATCAAATACTTGCATTGACCAAAGATCTGCACCTTTCATTTCAAAAAGACTATTCAACCCTAACACTTTGTACTGAACATATTCTTGTTTGCCATTAGATATTTGTGCCATAACAGAACCAATTTTTTGCATTGTTGTATTTTCAGGAATAGAAAACAAATAAGTAGAATTATCAAAAGTTAAGTTTTTAACAGTCTGATTAGAAGGTACTATGTTTATTGTCACTATCGCACTCCTGACAGATGTCTGATTCAACTCATCTTTAGCTGACACTTTCAGCACATAGCAATTGACACCACTTGTAGAAATATCAAGGTAGTTATTAACAATAACTGCTCCATTTGATGTTATATAAAATGAATTTAAATTGTTTCCTGACAAAATTGAATATGTTAGCATAACACTATCAATGTCTATTGCTTGGACAGTTACAACAGTGCTACCAATCGATATACTCTCTGATACTGATGTTATATATTCCTCTTGTGTGAAAACGGGTCTAGTATGGTCAATGCCAGAAGAGTCTATTATGTTAATTATAACAAAAGTTCTATCTGAAAAACCTAAAAGATCTGTAGCTATTGCATAAAAAGCTAATGTCCTCCTTAAAAGATTTGAAAATCTGAAACCTGGTTTTAAACTAATGTCACCAGTTATACTGTCGATTTTAAAGCTTAACGCATCAGTGGATGAGTCTAATGAATAACTGATTGTATTACCAGTGCTCTGATCAAGTTGGACTCTAACATTTAGAATTGTATCATCTGTAGTAATATTGTTAAAAACATTTACTACGTACAGATTGTTCTCAAAGACTGGGGGTAAACCAGAAAATGGGGTAAAAAGGTGAATCATTATATTTCCAAGAGCAGAGTTTAGTGGAGGAACTCCAGCATCAGTAGCATAAACATAAAATTGATAATCAGTTTGTAAACTTGAGTCTAATGGTGCATTAACAACAAGTAAGTCTCCAATCAATATAAACAAGTTATTTGTTGTATTAAAAAGGGAATAAACTAGTTTATTGTTTGTGGTACCTTGATCTGTTGCATTGATTCTGCCTATTATTGTACCAACAGGTGATCTTTTGCTAACATTGAAATTATACACCAAGGGTAATAACACTGGAGCATTGTCATTTGTCTCTTTGATAGATAATTTAACAACAGCTCTATCAAAATAACTTAGATTTGCACTATTTTGAGCAATAACTTCAAATATATAAGAAGACTGATTTTTATAATCAAAAACAATTTTACTGAAGATGCTTCCATTATTGTTAATAGTAAAATATTGAGAGTCATTCCCATCTAGAATGTAAAGTATACCCAGATTGCTACCATTTATAAAGGCAGAAACAGTTAGAAGTGGTGTATCATACAAAATTTTTTCCATTAAATCCATAACCTTATACATGCTAAGTAAAAAGTGAGGCTGAAGGGAGGATACACCATAAATAGTTAAATTTACTATAGCATTAGGTATTGCCTGCAAAGGAGGAATACCTCCATCTTTGGCATCTATTGTGAATGCATATTTAGAGATTAGGGAATAGTTCAAGGCACTCTTCAAGACTAAAACTCGCCCAACAAATTCAAAAACAGACTCAACATCTTTGGAAATATTTAAAAAAATATTTCCATTGTTGCCTTCATCGTTATCGGTGACTTCAATATAAAGAAGACTAGATCCAACTTTAACTGTTTCCAGTATGCTCAAAGAATAAAATGGCACATCGAATGATGGTGGAGAATTGATATTAATTACACTGATAAAAACAAGTGATGAAGTATACTTTGGAGGAAAACCACCATCATTAGCAACAATCATTATAGTGTAGTTTCTTTGAAAATACCAATGTAAAGACTTTTTCAAAAACAAACTACCATTCAAAAACATTCCAAATGTATCTGATGAATCAACAACTTTGTATTGTATCAAACCATTTGAACTAACATCTGGATCTATCGCTAAAAAGGTCTCAATAGTTGTGTTAACTAAAATATCCTCTCTAACTTGAATGTAATAACTGCTGTTTAAGAATATTGGAGCGTTATCATTAACATCTGTAACAAAGATATTTACAATTGCATTTGTTTCAGCTCGACCATAACTATCAGCTACACTTACATACAGTGAATAGTGGGTAATTTTCTCAGCATCTAAAGCTTTCTGAACAACAATTTGCCCAATACTATTAACTGAAAAAACAGATTCAATGTTTCCTGATACAATTTGGAAAAACAAACTAACAAATGGATTTGGGTCAACAACAAAAAGTTTTTTTATGACAGCACCTATTCGAACATCCTCTTTTACAACAACACTGTAATAACTGGGATCAAAGTACGGACTAAAAATTACACTAGGTGAAATATTAATCGTAAAAGTAAGAGTTGCTAGGAAAGAAGGGTTTGATTGATCTTTTATAGTTATGAATAATATATATCTATCAACAGGCTCAAGCTCTCTAACAAGTTTAATCACACCTGCGGCACTCAGATTAAAAGGGTTTATAAGTCCTCCAAATACACTAACTAGTTCAAATAAAGGATTTTGACCAGAACTTAAGTTTTGAATTTTCAGAGTGTATATACTTGAACCAATTGAAGTACTCAGATTAATAGTAATATAACCTGGTGGTAACGACATTAGAGAATTGGTGTACTCATTTGAAACAAAAACAGTAAAATTGATATCTGGAGCATAACGCTTTGGAATTCCCATATCTGATAAACTCACCACAAGATTGTACACCCTTTTTGATTCGCTCAGTTTTCGATTAAGCTTAATAATACCAGTGTTGTTGCTTAGCGTACTAATAGAAAATATATCAGACTGTGATAACCCAAATTCTACATTTCCATTTTTTGTTGAATCAGCATCAAAGGCATTAAAAACAGCAACAATATCACCAACAAGTGTATATCCACTAATTGTAACATTGAGTTCTGGTAGGATAAATATTGGAGTATTGTCGTTTACATCCAAAACAGTAACAAAAACATTAATGACAGAGGTCAAATTTGGATTAAAACTAAAATAACTCTCTACATAGATATTTAATTCTTTTTTTGTTTCATAATCTGCATTAGTAATAACTAATAAACCTGTTGTGGTGTTAATAGTAAATAATGCATAATCATTAGTGTTCAGTATTCTGTAGGATACAGATTGTAATCCAGTGGCAATGATTCTACCAAGTATTTTTTCAGTATTTTCTTCAACAACAAACTCATAGTGAGAAACACTAAAGAATGGGTACTGCCATACCATAGGATCTTTGAGTACCTTAATTGTAACAAAGGCATTCAATGCAGATGCTAATTGCTGTGTACCTCGATCTGTTGCTTTTATTTCTAACACATAGTATTGCTGTTTATCAAAATTTAAATAATCATAAGATGATATTATGCCAGTAGTTGTGTCAATTTGGAAATGTGAATCTTCATTACCTGAAACTATGGCATAATTTACTACTCCATTTGAAAATGTGTCTGAATCTTTAGCAGAAACTGCAAGTATTGTGAAACCAAGAGGGATTGATTCCATAACTTCAATGCTGTAATTTTGCTTAACAAATACTGGTCTTTCATTAATATCAGTGATTAAAACAGTAACAAGCTTTACAGAACTTAATCCAGGATTTCCTCCGTCAATTGCTTGAACATACAAATCATATATTGATTTAGTTTCTCTATCTAATGGTCCACTAACTGAAAGAACTCCGAAGCTACTTATTGAGAAGGGAATGCTACCAGAAGAAGACAAAATGGAATAAAATATGCTGCCATAGTTTTCTGCTTCAGGTCTTTCAAGAATAGCGAATGAAGGTAAATTAACATCATTATCTACAGCAACAACACTACCAACAAAAGTGGATAATGGTGCACCTTCACTGACAATATAATATAGCGGTGATGCAGAAAAAGTTGGTTTAAACATATTGTCTGGATATATCTTGACAACCAATGTTGCAGGCAGATTTGACACTTTTCCAAATGAATCAAATGCAAACACTTTCAAAGTATAAACTTTTATGTCTTTAAATTGTATTTCACGCAACAACATTATATCTCCTGAATTCAAGTCAATTCCAAATAAATCTTTGTCCATTTGGTTAGGTTGAAAACTATAAGTTATTGAGCTGTTAGCATTCTCATCAGCATCATATGCATACACTGTAGAAATAATAGTACCAACTTTAGACTGTCGGGCAACAGATACTGTAAATGAGAGTCTTTCAAATACTGGACTATTATCATTTGTATTGTTTACAGACAAACGAAATACTACTGAAGTGAAAACTTCAGGATGAATAACTGTAAATGCTCTCACTATAAAGATGTATGTGGGCGCACTTTCATAATCAAAAGCTCTTTGAATGCTGATGAGACCTGTGTCATCAACAGACAATTTGTTTTTTCCTAATAAAGATGTTTCCACAATTGCATAATGCACTGTTAAGTTAATAGAGGGATCAATAGATGCATTAACTTGAAAAATGTTGCCTACAAAATTTTCATTTACACTGACTTCATAAACATTTCTATCGAACTGTGGCATGAAAATGTTTAAACCAATAACTGCAATATTGAGTGTTACAATTGATGATAAAGCTGGATTTCCCTGATCTTCAACTTTTATAATAAGCTGGTAAAATGTTATATTAGTATTCATCATACTTGACTGTGTTTTAACATCGCCGTTTGACAATAATGAAAACACAGAACCAGTATTTCCACTTATAATAGAGTAGCTTATTTTGCTATTAACACCTAAATCTTCATCTGTTGCTTGAAGGGATATCAACAAGGTACCAGTTGGAACTAAATTTGATATTTGTAAATCATAAACAGAATGAGCAAGCTTGGGAGTATTATCATTAACATCATAAACAAAAATCACTATTTCAGTATACCCAGAAAGGCTAGGCACACCATTGTCACTTGCTACCATAGTAAGGTGATACTTATCTTGTATCTCGCGGTCAAGTTTTGCAGACGAAACGATGCAGCCAGATTTATTTACAGAAAAAGCATTGTTATAATCAGAACCAGCAGACAAAAGATTGTATGTTATTTGGTTATTCAATGTAGTGGCATCATAATCTGAAGCTACAACACACCCTACGAGAACATTGGCTTTTTGTTCTGGCACAACAAATGTTTGAAACAATTTTTGAAATAATGGTGCATTGTCATTTGAATCCAACACAAGGACTTGTAGTTGTGCACTGCCAACATTTTGACTATCTGTGGCGTATAATGTAATATTATATGATTTTCTACTTTCAAAGTCCAAAGGCTTTGAAAGCATAACTACACCAGTATTTGGGTCAATATAAAAAGGATTCACACCAGAAACATTTAAACTGTATGTCATTAATCCATTTACACCAATATCTTTATCAGTAGCATGCACCTGAAGTACTGTTGTACCTACAAGATAGTTTTCAGCAACCACCTGAACATATAATGGTTGGTCAAAAACTGGTCCATTGTCATTTGCATTTAGCACATTCACCACAACAGATGAGTAAGCCACAAAAGATTGATTAGAATCTTGAGCACTGGCAACAACATGAAAAATAAAGATCTCTGTTTGCTCATAATCTAAAGCAGTTTTTAAACTTAATTCACCAGTTTTTGAATCAATAATAAAAGGTAAATCTGTCTCAAAAATTGCATAGGATATTGGAAGCGGATTATTTTGGTTGAAAGTGGCCAAAACTATGCCAAAGATTTCATAAGGCTTTTTTAACTCTGAAACTTGAAACGCATAAAAAAAGGATTGAAACTGAAGATCATTCATTATTTGTCCAACAGGAATAATGTTGACAAAAACTGAAGCATTTGTTGCAAAAAGCCCATCACTGATAATCAGGTTGATTGTATAATGGGATTGAGCTAACAAAAACAAATCCTTTTTAACATATAAATATGCCATCAATTGATTGTCAAAATCTAAGTGAAATGCATCAAACTGACTTGAAATAGAAATAGATAAGTTATTTTTATTAATTGAATCCGCATCAAAAGCTCTTAAAAATGCAAATGGTTGGGATGTAAGAGTAGCTTCACTTATTGTGACAGTTTGTGCAGCTGGTGTCAGGTATGGTTTGTTATCGTTTACATCCATGACAATAATCCGCACAAGCTGGTATCCACTATAAAAATCATTTGTTGCAGATACTGTTAAAACATACTCCTTCTGCATCTCATAATCTAATGTTCCAATCAGATATATATAACCAGAAACAGAGTCTATTGAAAACTTAGAACCAGCATCTGTGTACTCTAAAGAATATGTAACGGTGTTTGTGTTTACAACAAGTGATCGCCCAATGATTTGAGGAATAGTGTTTTCATATAATGAAATATACTGCACAAAGGTTGCAAAATGAGGTTGATTGGTAGATGTGACATTTATATATACTTTTACACTAGCCATATTTGGGCCTCCATCACTAGCATTTACTAAAAGTTCATAATAACTGTTAAGATTTGCATTTAATGTAGATGCCACAAAAATGCTGCCACTCTGAACATCAATACCAAAGCTATTGCTTCCTCCCCTAACTATTGTATAATTTATATTGCCATTGTCATAATCATGAGCAGTAACTTGAAGAAAAACAGTTCCAATAGGTGTTTGGTCTGATATTGCAATGGAATAAAAAAGCTGTGAGAAGAAGGGAATATTGTCATTAACATTAATAATGTTTATAGAGACAGCTTTTACAGCAATTCTAGGTGGAGATCCGCCATCACTAGCCTGTACAAAAAAGTTGTACGATTTAATTTTTTCATAATCAAGAGTTGAATTTTGTTTTATAATACCTGTTGGTAATATAGTAAATGGCAGCATTGGTGTGGTACTAAATAATGAATAGAAAACTTGTCCAAAAATACCAGCATCAAAATCTGTAGCAGAAGCATTGGCAACATCACTATAAATACTATTATCTTCTCGCAATGAAATAATTATATCTTCAGGAGAATAAAAAACTGGATTATGATCATTTAAATTACCAATAAGTAGTGTGAACAACTGTTTTGAAGTTTGTTGTGGAATACCTTGGTCACTTACTGAAATATTAAAAACAATTTTATTGCTACTTTCATAATCTAATTTCTTAACTAAAACAACATCTCCAGAGTATGGGTTCACTTGAATCTGCGGCACATTGGTTTCTAAGGAAAAGATCAACATACTGTTATTTTCACTATCTTGATCTGTAGCAAAAACAGTAAACAACAATGAACCTAACTCAGTGTTTTCAAAGGCATTGTATATTGATGGACCTTTAAATAATGGCTTGTTATCATTTACATCAACTACTATAACATTAACAATTGTTGAAGCACTATATCCATTTTCATTTGTTGCAGAGATGGTAAAGATATACTGTTTGGTAGACTCATAGTCTAGCACCTTAAGTACTGTAATGTCACCAGTTATAGCATTAACAAAAAAGATATTTGAAAGATACAATTCAACTAAACTAAATTTAACAGGACTAACAGAATCTGTATAAACACTTCCAATTGTTTTAGGTGCACTATCTTCTTCTTTTACCTTGAAGATATAAATAGATTGGCTAAACGTAATTAAACCATTAGAAACTGAACTAACAATAACATTATATAAAATATCATTTTCAGCTTTGTTCTTTAACTTTCCTGTCATATCAACATCTGAGACTGATACATTAAATGTGTAACTGTTTGGCACTAACATCTCCGAAATATAAAGTATTCCAACATAACCATTATTTGCAATTTTGAAAGGGACATTATCTGGTGTTATGCTGTACACAAAATCTGAAGAATCATTGTCTGCAACTGTAACAAAAGATACAGCTTGTCCTACAGTATATAATGTATTAAGATTTAACACGCGAACAAAAGGTTGTCCAAATACAGGCTTTTCATCATCTGAATTTAATACATTTACAATGATACTCTGAAAAGAGAATGATTGATCTGAAACCCTTACTGCTTTAATAAAAAATGCAAATTCAGTTTGAAACACAGATCCTAGTGATTGATTTAAATAAACAGATCCACTTGAATCAATCAGAAACGGAAAATTGTTATTGTCATTTCCTTGAACAATACTAAAAGAAATGTTAATATTTGATGGAGCTACTTGAGTAGTAAATAGAACAACATTTACTGATTGGTTTTTGAACAACTCAATGAACTTATACGATTCAACAAATCTTATTTGATTGTTTTTACCTTCAACAACATTGATTTTAACAATAGCTGCTGATGTTTTGCTTGAATATCCGATTTGATAGTCTGTTGCTGTAACTACAATTTCAAAATATCTCTGTGAAATATCATTATAGTCTAAAGTTCCAATTAATGATATCAAACCAGTTTTTTCATCAATTGAAAACTTGTTATTGCTTCCAGAAGCTAAAGCGTATGAGATATATAAATTTCCAACATCATTATCAGTAGCATGTACAAGGAGTATTATTGCTGGAACCAGAGTATTTGAAAATACAGTTACTGAGTAACTTAAAGAGTCAAATATAGGGAAATTATCATTGATGTCTATAACACTAACCAGTACAGATATAACATCTGTCCTAGGTGGTGATCCGCCATCAGCAGCCATTATCAAAACTTCATAACCCTTAACACTCTCGTAGTCAAGTACTCCAGTTGTAAAAACAGACCCAGTGATAGGATTGATTGAAAATGGCATAGAAGTTAATGCATTCACAATACTGTATTGAACTGCACCAAAAACACCAGAGTCTTGGTCTGTAGCTAGTACTGTCACTACAGGCTGAATAGCAACAGAGTTTTCTATTATACTTGAGTTATAATACTTTTTTCCAGTAAATTTTGGTACAAATATTGGATTGTATTTATTTACATTTACCACATCAATGGTTATCATTTGAGTTGCAAACAACATTGTTTGGTCTTGAGCTCTTATTTGACATGTGTGAGTATTTGCTTTTGCGTAGTTTAAACCACTTTTGTAAACTACCTCACCTGTTGATGAATTAATACTCAGCAACAAATCTCCTGTGCATTGATCTATCGAATACACAACATCAGAGCTATCATCTATAGCAACTACTTTAAATATAACAGTTTCAGTAGGAAAATCCTCAGTGAGAGTGTATTTATTATATGAAAAAAATATGGGATTCTTATTTTGAGGCAAAATACTAACATAAACCCAGGTTACTGCTGTTAAACCTAATGCACTTATATTAGCTTGTACTGAAAATAGGTAAGGTGTTTTACTATTGTATGGAATTTTGGAAAAAATGGAACCGTTATTTTGGACATTAAAAATATACTCTGCACCACCTGCTGGAACAATTGAATATTCAATTCCTGTGTTACTAGATAATAAAGACGTAACCGAGTCAGAAATAAATACTGAAACATACCCAACTTCATATCCAGCTTCAAAATATTCTGGAATAAAAAAATTATACAGCGTTTTTGTAAACTGAAACTGAACTTGTCCAGAATTGACAAAAACTTTAATAAGATTAGTTTGTGCAGCTGTGTGGCCAGCAGGATCTTGTACCTGTACTTCGAGCAAATAATTTGGCTCTCCAATCAATATACGATTTAGTATTACTAATCCAACATCATTGACACTAATTATAGAGAATGTTTTGCCATAATCATTGATTAAAGAAAATTTCAACTTTCCCTTACTTACTGAGTCAGTATCATTAGCTTTTACAAATGCAATTATTCCTATGTTTACTAAACTTGGTATTGTTACCGTTTGCTGCTGGGGCTCTGAAAAAACAGGAATATTATCATCAACATCTTGTACAATTACTAAAACATTTTGTGTTCCAAAAATATTACTTCCAATCACCTGAGCTTTAATGGAAAATGAAATAAATTGAGTTTGCTCATAATCTAAGAAGGAGTTTAAAGAGATTTTTCCTTGCATATCTATTGAGAATTTAGATACACCCAGCCTTGCCTGTGAACCATCTATGACAATAGAATAGTTAACTAATCCACCAGTTACTGTGGCTAAAGTGTTAGCTACCACCCCAAGTGGTTGATCTTCTCTGACATATATCTCTAAATATGGTTGATAAAACATTGGCTGCACAACTTCTACATTAATCTTTATAGCATTAACAATAATTTTGACATCTTGAGATGACCTTGGACTCACAGGATCTGAGTCTTGAGATCCAACAAGGATTTCATACCTGTCTATCAAATTTGAGGTGATGGTTACTTGACCTAGAGTGAATATATCGCCAGTACGCTGATCAATTCTAAACATGTCAGTCCTTCCAGATTTAAAGAAATAGTTTACTTGACCATATATTCCAGAATCTAAATCAACGGCTGAGACTTTCCCAATCGATAAACCAGCAGGAGTACCTTGAAGAATAGTTATATTATAATTTGTTTGCGTGAAAACAGGATTGTGGTTATTCAAATCTATTATATTTACTACAACAGGTAATGCATCTGAGAGTTGAGGATAACCATTATCTGAAGCAACAACAAGTAAATAGTACTGGGATGAAACTAAGTAATCAAATAAACCAATTGTGTAAAGCCTGCCAGTGTTTTGATCAACTGCAAAGTTGCTGTTAAAAACATTTACAAGACTGTAATTAATTTTTGAGCCAAAATCATTATCAGTAGCTGTGAGAAAAGCTATTGTATAGTTAAAAGGTGTATCTTCTCCAATGAAATATTGAAGTTGAGTTTGAGGGCGTACATTAAATCGAGGAGAGTTATCATTTACATCAAGTATGCGAATGTTGAACTTTACATTCAAAATATTTTGTGGAGAACTTCTATCATATATATTTACAGACATAATGTATTCCGTAGCTTTTTCATAATCAAAACTATCAAGCAATGTAACTCTTCCAGACACTTGATCAACGTTTATTAAACCAAGTGTTGAAATTGGTGATCGTATTGCACCAATATAATCAAATGAGTATACTAATTCTGAATTTGAATCTAGATCTTCTGCTTTTATTACAAAAAGTGTTGAGCCAATAGGAACATTTTCATAAAAACTAAAGCTAACGTCCCCATTATATGTAGGAACATGATCATTGGTATCATCAACAATCACATTGACAAAACAGTTACCAACTAAAGTCTTTTGGCCATTAATTATATTTGCAGCTTCAACCATAAAAGTATATTTAGATACCATTTCTCGATCTAGTTCTTTTTTCAAATAAATGTTTCCTAAAGTGTCAATTCCAAATACTTGGCTGGCATCATTGTTAACAATTTTATATGAAATAGCCTTATTTGTTGGTGTGACATCTTTGTCTGTAGCAGTAACTGTGCCAACAAAAGAATTCTGGTAAGGTCCCTCAAGTTTATTAAATATATACTCAGACTGAGCAAAAGTTGGAGGTTCATCATTTATATCGACAACTTGAATATTTATAATCTTAGAAACCACGCTAGATCTACCTTCAGAATCACTTACTGACAAAACAAGTTGATAAAGCATTTTCTCTTCTGCATTCAAATCTTTTTCAAGAAATATCTCACCCATGTCTTTAACACTTATAATCATAAACCCAGCAACTGGGGGGTTAATTGAGAAAACTAATTTTCCACGACTTCTTGCATCAGCATCCGATGCATTAACTAGTGTTAAGCATGATCCAATCTGAGAATGCTCATTAACACTAACAGTAATAGGTTGATTAGGTAAATCAAAGATAGGATTGTTATTATTTTCATCAATAATCTTAAGACTTACAGTTTGAACACCATAGATTACGCCGTTTAACACAGCACGCCGTATAAAAATATACTCATTTTTAATCTCGTAATTTAATGGCTGAATTAACATAACTTCCCCAGTTAAATAATTTATTTTTAACACAGAGCTGTCAGAACTGTCAGAGAAAACAATTTCATAAAATAACTGATTATTATTCACATTCCATACCTGCATGCTTTGTGTGGTCACAACAACCGAATTTATGGCTGTGTTTTCACTAACACTAATTCTTAAAAGTGTGCTAGGATAATTGCCTATTTCTTCAGTGAGATAAATGAAAACATTTACATAAGTGTAGAGAGGCTGAGTAACTGAACATCCTCTCACAATAACTAGTAGCTGGTAAACATTTTGTTTAGAATAACTTAAACCATTTTTAACATATATATCACCTTCCTTGGGATCAATTCTAAATGACTCAGTTGGATCAGTTCCAGGTGAAAATGAAAACACAATGGAACCATTAGCACATTTATTTGGATCTTTTGCATCAATATGCAGTACCAATTGATTAACAAGAGTATTTTCAGATATAGTCAAGTTATAAGATGGACTGGGCACAATCGGAGGATAATCGTTTTCATCTAATATTGTAACTTCAACATAAGTAATTGCACTTCTAGTAGGATTTCCGGCATTTGTTGCTTTGACTAAAAATCTGTAAAGTTCTCTAACTTCTCTATCAAATGTTCCTTGATAAGAAATACCTCCATTTGAGTCTAACAAATAAAATTGAAACATAGACCCTAAATTGTCTAAATCAATCAGCTCATATGTTACAATATTAAATGGAGGTAAATCACCATCATTGGCAGTAACAACTAAAAATGGTTTGTTCATGGAAAGTTTATTTTCAGTAATGAAAGCTTCATAAAAATTTTTAAAGAACACTGGACCGTTGTCATTTTCATTAATAACATTAACTGTAATCAACTGAAATGTGTTGTGAACATTGTCTGTTGCCACAACTGTAAATGTATATTGTTGGATCTGTTCATAGTCAAGTTCAGTTGCTAAAATCACATAACCTTGAGGAGTGATTTTAAAAGTAGAGTCCATTTGAGAGTAAAATGTTATTTTTGTGTTGGCATCAGCATCTATCGCTGATAGTATAAAAACAACAGTTCCAATTACAGTTTTTTCTGAAACACTGAAATTTGTGGCAGAAGTAAAGACTGGTGCATTATCATTTTGATCACCAACATTAATAATGACTATTGCACAAGTTTTTCTTACTGTTGGAGTGAAGCTATCTGTAGCAATAACATTTAAATAATACCTTGGCATTGTCTCAAAATCTATTACTCCATTTGTTGAAATAACTCCACTAATGGGATCAATAATAATGTTAGGATTTGCTAAAGGATCACTGAATGAATATCTAATAGTTTTGTATATATCAGACTTATCATTGTCTACAGCAACAACACTGCCAATAATTGTTTTATCAGGAGAGTTCTCAAAAACAGTAAAGCTATAAAACTGTTTTGAAAAAACTGGACTATTATCATTCTGGTCAACAACTAAAAAGTTTATCTCTTTATAACTTGAATGTCCGGCAGCATCTGTAACTGTAACATTAAATCTATTACTGTTAGAATTAGGATCCTCTGCATCAAAATCTCCAATTGTTAAAACTGTAGCTTCTGCTTGCTGATATGATTTAATTATTTTCACTGGAAAATTATTAGGGCTTATAAAAAATGTCAAACCATTTTCTGATATAGTTGAAGTGTCCATATCTTTAACATGAATTACTGCAATTACTAGTCCAGGTCCAGCATTTTCAGATATATTACCTATGGTTACAGTGTCTATAATAGGCCATATATCATTTAGATCATTAACTTTCACAGTAACAATACAAAAAGCATCATATTTCTGATTCATCATATCATGAGCCTTTACATTAAACGTATATGAGGATTGTGACTCAAAATCTGGGGATGCAATTAAGCTAATATAACCAGATGTTTTATCAATTCTAAAAGTATTAAGACTGTCTATTCCACCACTAATGGAATACTCTATAGAACTTGAACCAAAAGCTACAACACTCCCAACAGAACTTCCAGATGGCATGTTTTCATCAATAGAAAAGGGGTAATTTAATAAAGTAAATTGCAAATGGTTGACATCAGTTAAAATTTTAATTGTTATTGTTACTGGATCAGATTGGAGATAAAATGAACTTGGTGAATCTCTTGCTACAACACTTAAATTATATTCCATCTTTGAATTCAAATCAAAAAGAGATTTTGTATTAATAATTCCACTATACATGTCTAATTTGAAAAAGGTCCATGCAGCATTCGAAGGATCAGCTGATAGAAATACAACATTCGAAGAAGAATCTAAATCAATAGCTGTGAAAGCAAAAATAAATGAATTTAATGAGATTGAAATGGGCAAATATATTGTAGTTGAACTTGAAGTGATAACTGGTCTGTTGTCATTTACATCAATAATTACAATAGTAAGCAATGCACATGCTTGACTACTTTGAGTCAATGAAAGTGCAGTATCAGTTGCAACCACCAAAAATTCATATCTAAAAATATTTTATATCGTCATGTTTGTGAATGTTTGTGTATTTACACTACAGTTCTTAATTATTCAAATGAAATTAACTTTTTATTAAATGTTATTTTTTATTTAACTACTTCTTATGTTTATTTTTGCATTATTAAAAAATTAAAAAAAAATAAAAGTTTTTTGATTAAAATGCTTTGATAAAAATCATTAGAATAATAAATGCTTAAGTGGATTAAACAACATAAAAAATGGACCATCAATGACTGTAAACGTGGACCGACGAGTCAAAGTTTCAAATTTTTGATAACAGGAGAAAATTGTTTGTCTGTAAAAAAAATAATTGTTGAATGTGCAATAAAATAGTGTTTATTATTGACTATAAAACATGGTGGGTGTAGTATTAAGGTGTGGGGCTGTTTTGGTTGAAATGCCACAAGTAACATTGTAAAAATAGAGGGAATAATGACAAAAGTAGTTTACTTAGACACTTAAAAAGTCATGCTATACCTTTGCAAAGTTGGGTTAATGGGAATCCATTTACTTTTTTCAAAAAAATATAACTTAAAGCTTAAATGCAAACCATATTCTTCAGAATATCATATGAGTTATTTGTCTGACTCGGATAAGTTGTAAAGTAGAATGCCAAGATTATGAATTGCGGTTATTGTTGCTAAGAGTAATTAATAGGCAAGTAAATGATAAACTAATTTAATGAGAATTTATATTATTTTTTTGTAAACCTAATAAATAGGAAGATAACATATAATTCAAAAAGATTTTCTTCCAATAGTAATTAAAACTTTGATCATCAAAAAATTTTTATATCAAAAAAAACTTTTTGTTTTGAGTCTACAGAAAAGTAAGACTAAATTTAAAACAATAAAACTAAAAAAAATTCATCCAAAAAATTATAGTTTCACAAAAGATATATATTAATGTGGATCGAGAACACAAAGTTCTGTTACTAATTCTACAATAAATAGTGAAATTTATCAAAAAGAGGCCCTTAAAAAGAGCTTATTGCCAGAAAACCAGCTATTGTACTCATCATTTGTAACAGTTCTTTTGCACTTATTTGAAATATTTTTCATTTATTGTATCAAAAAACAAATTTTTAAAAACTGTCTTGTCAGACTTCTAAATGTGTTCTTTATAATAAAATAACACTAGATTTATAAATTTTTTGAACAAAAAATATTTTTAGAGGTGCCCAAGACTATTGAACATTTAAAGGGGGACCCTTTAAATGTTCAAGGGCCTTGGGCACTTAACATATATGTAAAAAATAGGTTAACCTGGTATTCGAAAGAAGTGAAACTATGTAAAATTTTGAAAACAGTTATTGTTTCATATAAAATGTTATATTTTAATGTTTTTTCATAAAAACTTTTGATTTTTTTTCTTTACATTTTTTACAAAAAAAAATATGATTTTTAAAACTTTTATATAATTTTGCTTTTTTTGATTACCAGGAAGATCTACTTTTGAAGAACTTTTTATACTATATATTAGGTTTAAATGTTCCAAGGTCTTGGAGGCACTTCTAAAACCATTTTTTATTTAAAAAAATTTTTTAAATCTAGTGTTATTTTATTATGAAGAATACATTTAGAACTCAGACAAGACAATTTTTAAAAATTGTTGTTTTTTAATGCACCCTAGAGTTAATGTTATTTTTGATGCACCCTAGTGTTAATGTTATTTTTGATGCACCCTAGTGTTAATGTTATTTTTGATGCACCCTAGTGTTAATGTTATTTTTGATGCACCCTAGTGTTAATGTTATTTTTGATGCACCCTAGTGTCAATGTTATTTTTGCACAACTAAAAAAAGTACAAAGATAAAACCTTTAACACCAAGAAAACCAATATAATATTTACATAAAATATTTTAACTAAATAAATTAACCATTCATTTTTATTTTTTTCTTATTGCTGAGAAATTGTTCTAAAAAGAAAAAAAAAAGAATTTGAGATTTAGGTTTACCATAACAATAGTGTACAATATATTTAACAACTGCGACTGCAACAACAACTGCAATATATTTAACAGATTGTTGATTGTGATTGAACTTATTATTAACTTTTTTATTTACTTATGAAATTTTAAACTTACAGTTATGGCTAAAAAGATTCAACCACTCATAATTTTATAGATAATTAAAAATGAGCGGGCGGGTGACTGCATAGTTATCAATAGTAAAACATTTTATATGTTTTTTATATACTAAAATCAGTTGCAATATAATCTTAGAGTAATCTAAACATTTAATGAAAGTCTGAACGAATGACTGCATTTGAAGATTCTTTAGACTAAGCTCAACAAGTTTATAATATCTTTTCATCATGGCAACAGATAGCATTAATCAGAGAAAATTGTACAGAAGACTAAAGTATACCACATCGAAAACTGACAACATGATGCCCCATTTGGCTCTAAAAGAAATAAATATTCAAAGACACCATGCCAAAGACGTTAATCTTCAGTTGTACTGCATCAAAGCCACACCTTTCTCAAAAAAACATATGTAATCATGGGGCAAGAACCCAAAAACTGCTGGGTAAAATTGAAAGCAGAAGTTTCAAAATAGAATTCAATCTCACTAGCAGATCTGAAAAACGTTTTACAAAAAAACATGTTATCATAAAGTAAAGCCCGAATATTGTAAGCCTCAATGAAAAGAATAAAAGTTTAAAAGTATGTTATATACTGTGATTTTTTTATTTTTTTTTTTGTGTTGTTTTTTTAATTAAAACTTTTTCTATGAATAAATGCACTATACAGTATAAAAACAGATTTTTGCGATTTGGATATTGGCCCTAACTGTATATTTTTACTTGTTTTATATAAATATATTTTATTATTGTTATTATATATATATATATATATATATATATATATATATATATATATATATATATATATATATATATATATATATATATATATATATATATATATATATATATTGATATATATACTTATTTTAAAAGTTAGATAGACAGTTTTAATTCAATAAATGTATATTATATATTTATTTATTTATTTATTAACATTTTCGCTTTCAACAAGGCTGCAAGCAACCACTAATTAGTGTTGGAAGTTACTGGAAGAGAAAAGATGAAGATTGTAGAGCAAGATAAAGATTGGCAGACAACTTAAAAGATTGCAAATTATATGAATCAGGAAAGCAAGATGAAGGAAGCGAATTCCAAAGAACTGATGTTCGAGGAAAAAAACTAGACGAATTTGAGTTTTTGAAGTACTTAGGAACAGTAACAGAATAAGGATGAGACTTGAATGACGAGTAACACGAGAATGAATTTTAGTAGATGGCACAAGAGACGCTAGCTCTTAAGAGCAGTGCCCATTATAGTATTTGTAGAAAAGAGAAAGAGAAGCAACATTACGACGATGTGACAGAAGTTGAAGGTTGGCTGCAAGAGCAGGTCCAACTATGTTTACAATGCGTTTTTGCACCTTGTCTAAAAGAGAAAGGACATCATTAGAAGATCCACCCCAGATATGGCAGCAGTATTCCATACAAGACCGGATTTGAGATTTATAGAGATAGAGAATAGAATCCAGAGTAAGAAAGTGACAAGCTCGACAAAGAGAAGCAACTTTAGCAGATGCTAATTTTGCAACGGACTTGATATAAGGTCTCCAAGAAAGATCAGAAGTAAAAGTTAATCCTAGAAGATGAAGGGTAGGAGACTCATCGAGTACATTAACGTTCATAAATATAGGAAGGTCTAAATTATTGCGATAATGATTGGCTGAAAAAAATTGAGTTTTATCTGAATTAAGGTTTTACCAGCCACTGTGAGCCCCATGCTGTAGCAGAAGTAAGATCCTTTTCAAGCTCAGATGCCCTCTGCAAGCAATCAGAAGGAGTTGGCTTCTTATCGTGACAAAAAAAAAAGGTAGTATCATCAGTAAATAATGCCACCTTAGATGTGAGAATATCTGGAAGATCGTTAATGTAAATTAAAAAGAGTATAGGGCCAAGGATTGAACCTTGAGGAACCCCTGAGGTTACAGAATAAGAAGAAGAGTGCTGTCCATCAAGGACAACTTTTATACTACGATTGAAAAGGCAGGATTCAATAATCTTAAAGATGTTTCCAGATACACCGTAAGAAAAAAGCTTATGGAGAAGACCAGCATGTTAAACTTTATCAAACGCTTTAGAAATGTCAAGAGCGTTGGCCTTAACTTCTCCACCTTTATCTAATGCGCGATAAAACCTATTGGTTATTACTGTTAACAAATCAGCCGTAGAACAAGAAGATCGAAATCCATATTGATGATCAGAAAGTAGGTTATGAGATTCAAGATGAGAGATTAAGTGTTTGTTAATTAAAGATTCAAAAACCTTGCTTATGATAAAAACCTTCAAAAACCTTGCTTATGACTAATGGGACGGTAGTTAGACGAATCAGATCACTCTCCAGAATTTTTAAAAATAGAGATAACAGATGCTGCTTTCCAGCAGGCTGGAAAAGAAGACTCTGATAAGCACTTGTTAAATAGTTTTGAAAGGATAGATGACAGCCCTGGAGAACACTTCTGCAAGACTATAACAGGTATGTTGTCCAGGCCGCAAGCTGTAGAAGAGTCTTAGCAGGTAATCACTTTAGATACAGAAGCTGGAGTGATACGAATGTCGAGCAGTGGATCAACCTGTTTGACGGCTATATTAGGTAGAACGCAACTAGATGATACTGATGAAAAGTTCTTGGCAAACAATTCAGCTTTGTCTTTAGGTGAGGTGACAAAGTTTGAACCGTACAAAAGAGGTGGAATTACAGACTTGCCCTTATTATTGATACTATTAAAGATTCTCCAGAAGTCACGAGAGCCTAATTTTTGTGATGAAATATGAGATTTTATGATCTGAGAATAGCGGGCTTTGGCGTTAGACAAAACCTTTTTACAATGGTTCCTAGCAGTAATAAACCGACATCTGTTTTCTGGAGAATTGTTTTGCTGATAGATATGAAAGTAATGGTTTCGATTAGCAATTGCAGCAGCACAATGTGAGGAAAACCATGGAGAAGAGTGAGGCTTGACCTGGAATCGTCGAGAGGGAATAAAGAATTTCACGCCTGCCTGAATCCACACAGTTATGTAAGAAGCACATTTGTCAACAGGAAGACGAAAGATTTCTACCCAGGGGCCATCACGAAGAAAATCACAAAAGAGTCCCAGTCAGCTTTAAGGTAGTTGTAAGATGTACAATGATAGGGGGATTTTGGTAAAGAAGAATGAGATAAAAGTTTTAGAGAGACCAAACCATGATCAGAAGTACCTAAGGGTGAGTGTGGTGAAACTGAGCACTGACTAGGATTAGAAACAAGACATAAGTCGAGTAGAGAAGGTAAATGATTCGGGTTGTCTGGAAAGCGAGTTGGAAAGTTGACTATTTGAGTTAGGGATTGAGAAAGACAAAAGTTGTGGGCCTTAATGCCTGCGGAGTCACTGACACTAGATTCAGTGTGATGAACATTAAAGTCACCGACAGCAACAATATTGGCTGATGGATAAAGAATGAGGGCTTGGTCAATATACTCAGAAATAACATCAAGAAGAGTGCAGTCTTGAGATAAAGGGGAGTAATATAGAACAAAGAGAACGGTGATAGAGTGAAGTGGTGCTAAACGAAAGCACATAAAAATTAGTCTGTGGATTCAAACCTAGTTTCCCAACAAATGGGTGAATTCTTACGAATGTAAATGCCTAGGCCAAGCATGTGACTATTGGAGTCTTTACGAATTAAAAAAAGATAACCATCAACACTAAGATCACAAGATGAGACAGCTGAACTCAAATTAGTCTCACAAAGAGCAAGTAGGTCTGGTGAACTTTGCAAGAGATAAGACTCAACAGAAGAAAAGTTACTTCGAAGACCACGAATATTGGTGAATGATAGGTTTAGCGAACTTGGTGATGATTGTGGTTTTTTGTGTTTTATAGTTTTTTACTTTATTCATTTTTAAATTTGTTAAAGATTTATTTTTAAATTTGTTCAAGTTTAAATTTGTTATATTTCTTTTTTTATCATTTACTATTTACTTTCTATATTATATTTTTACTTATAAATTTATTCAAATTGAGATTTAAAAAACTTTTTCAAAGAAAAAAAAGTTAAAAATTTTTCTGGTAATTTTGAAAAAGTCAAAAAGAATAGTCAAAAAGTTAAAAATTTTTCTGGTAATTTTGAAAAAGTTAAAAAGAATAGTCAAAAAGTTAAAAATTTTTCTGGTAATTTTGAAAAAATTAAAAAGCAAAACTATTTAAAAGAAAATTATTTTTGCATTTTGTTTTCAGGGGAAAAGTTTAGATTTTACTTTTTACAAACTGATTTTTTAGTTTATTTTTTAGTTTTATTTTAGCTTAGGTAAAATGCGATCATGGTTATTTTTAAACACTATAAAATAATCTTAGAACTTTTTTATTCCTTATAAAGATCTAATAGTTAATTTGAACTCTTTAGAGAGAATGTTTAATTAAAAAAGAATAATTAAATCGAAAAATTACATGCTATCTGTTAGTAAACATTTTTTTTTTTACTAAATAAGTAAATTTTTTTAAAGTAAATGAATAAAAGATACTTGTAAAAATATCTTCTTTTTAGTATAAGTATTTTTGTCACAAAAAAATAAAAATTTAGTACAGCAGAGCTTATTTAGTATGCTTATATTTATTTTATGTTATATGTATGTTTATATATATATACATATATATATATATATATATATATATATATATATATATATATATATATATATATATATATATATATATATATATATATATATATATATATATATATATATATATATATATGTTTATATTATATATTTATTGTATATTTTTATAAGAATTGAAAACAGACAAACCTTTCTCTTTTCTCTCTATCTAAAGGCTGTTTGATTGTTATCTCACCTAAACTATTTATATCAAAAATACCAGAACTTTCTGGGTCAACTATTGAATATAATACATTATTGGTAAGACTTGTACTATATGCATCAGTTGCAGTTATGGTGAAAATCTTGGTCCCAATTATTGTATTCTCAAATATATTTACATAGTAAGATGTTTGGTTAAAACGAGGTGTGTTTCCAATTACATTATCAACATAAATAACCAATGTTACATTATTAGATTCAAGCATACCACTGTCACGTGCTTTAGCAACAACAGTGAAATTTTGTTGATTGTTAAACTTCTTTTTAACTGTCAACATCCCGCTAGTTTGATTTAGCATTAAAAATTCTGAATTGATTTCAATAGCAATATATTGAAGTGTGTTAAATATTGACGACTTGTCAGCATCATTAGCAATAAACTGAAATAAAACACTACCAACAAGAACATCTTCTGGAACATATATTATGTAACGGCCTGTTGTAAATATTGGAGAATTATCATTGATATCATTAACATAAATAGTTACAACTTCAACTCCAATTCTTGATTCAGCAATGGGATTAGATTGTGTGTTATCAACAGCTTGATCGTTAGCCACAACAGTTAGGTAATATATATTATTTAATAAGTCAACATCAAGGCTTTCTAAAAACATAAGTATCATTTGTTAATGTCAACTTCAATTAATGTTAAATAAACTAAAAAATGTCACGCATATAAAACAAGTTGAACTACCATAAACAAATACTTTAAATGCCATAGTTACTTTAAATACCATAAATTCTATATATTGTACTACAAATATTGTTAAATAGTATAAATATATTACAACTAATAAAACATACATACTTTTAAGAATTATATCACCAGTTAAGGAGTTAATGCTAAAATAACCGTCATCGTCACCAGGCATTGAATATATTATTTGACGGTTGGCCAAGGTTTTATCTTTATCTTCAGCATGAACTGTCAATACCACAGAATTTATTGGAAAATTTTCATTGATAGTGGTTGAAATAGCTCCATTTGTAAAAGCAGGTGAATTATCATTTACATCCGTCAAAGAAATCACAATACCACAGAAAGTAGATTGTTGAGGTGAGCCGGAGTCATGTGCATTTATTTTTAACATGTAACTTGTATATAATTCATAGTCAAATTTACCTGAAAGTTGCAATTCTCCACTTGTACTATTAAGATAAAATGAATCGGAATATATGTTAGTACTGTTGTCAATTAAATAAGATACCAGACCATTAACACCTATATCTTTATCTGTAGCACTGAACTTTTTTAAAACAAATCCTATTGGTACTTTCTCTGAAATTGTAAGTCTATATATTGGGGAGGAAAAAACTGGAGCATTGTCATTGATGTCATTTACACTAATATAAACTTGAGCACAACCTTGCAAACTTCCTTTATCAGTGACACAAACAGTAAGCACATATTTATCTAAAATTTCTCGGTCAATGGACCCAACCACAACTATCTGTACATAACCACCACTATTGCTTAAAGAAAACACATTGCTAAACTGGTTGTTTAAAATGAAATAAGACACTTGCTGATTATTTACTGTGGCAATAGTGCCTACAACCATTCCATTAGGTGAATTTTCTTCTACTTGAAATTGATATAAATAACTATCAAAACCAGTTGAACTGGAGTTAAAAACATAAACAGTTAACTGATAATTATCAGTTTTAACCATGACATTATTTACATCAAATGCTGTGAAAAAAAGATCATATTTTTGCACTATTTTAGAATTTAGACTTTTTGTTAAAATAACAATTCCTGTTTGAGAGTCAACTTGAAAGGTATCAGTATAACTATTTAACGTATACCCTACAATCCCATTTGAATAACTTGCAGCTAATTGAAAAATGGGTGTTCCAACATCAAGCATTTCATATAGTGATATTATACCAGAGCCAAAAGCAAAAACCGGTGTTGGAAATCTGTCCATAACATTTTGAACAATGATGTCAACAGCTGTGCAGTCCTTCTTGTAATCAGCTGTGAATAAATTAAAGTAAATTATCATTGAAATACAAATTTTCAATAGCGGATCTCTGCAAGTGTAAATGTGTTACAGTGAGCACAATACTAATACATTCTACAAAATTATTTCAAACACTATTTTAGAAAAAGAAAAAAAAAAACTTTAAAAAAATTATAAAAACTAAAAAAAAAAAACTCTGTAACAAATGCCCTTTATATGTAAATATAACCTAACCCAAAATTGACTGAGGGTTTGGGTCCTAACCCAAACCCTCAGTCAATTTTGTACTTAAGCCCACAGATAGCTGTTTCAATATGACCTTATCATTGATGTTTCATTCACAGTTAAATTTGAACTTATTACACATATATGTAAATATATATAGCATTTTTTTCTAGATAAAAAGCCACCAGAACTCATCTTGATTGCCCTTAGTATGTCATAAAAACAAGGTTAGAAGTTAAAATATTACATTAAAAAACTATATTAAGTGTAAAAAAAAAAAAAATTATAATAATGAAAAAAATAATAAATTACCTGCAGAATCTTTAGCACAAATAGCAACTGTAAATGATTTTACCCCTATTCCATTAGTGAATGTTTTTGCTAATGTTATTTTACCAGAACTGTCAATTGCAAAGAAAGAACTATATTGACTTTGGAGAATATTGAAGACTAAAATGGTAGAATTTACATTTGTTGGAAAAACACTTCCTACAAAATAACCAATACTTTCATTATTATTGAATCGAAAAACATATGGCACAATGCTGAATAGAGGAAAATTGTTATTATTGTCAACAATACTTATAGTTAACATCGCTTCATCATCTGTTACCAATGTATTATTATCTTGCGCAATAACATAAATTACATAAGTTTTTTGAGTTGCAATATTTAAATTATTACTGACAAATATAATTCCGTTTTTAGAATCTATTCCAAAAAGACTCATAGCTTCTTGACTGGTTTTGGATGCATTAAAAGCAAAAATTACAATGGACCCATAACGATTATTAACAAAAAACTGAAAAATCATTTTGTTGATTGAAGTTGAACTTAAAATTTGGATGCTAAAATTTCCCCCAACAAACTTGGGCAATGTTTCTGACTCAATTGTGATAGTGACAACAGTACATGTAGTACGTTTTTCATTTGATGGACTCCACTCTTGTGCGTCTATATAATTATCAGTGGCACATACAGTCAGTAAGTACTCTAGAGCTTTATATGAAATTGTTGCCCCTTTTGATACTGTAATAGTGCCTGATACACTATCCAACTCAAATAAACTTTGTGTATTCATAATAAAATATGTTAATTTTAAAATATCAGGATCTGTAGCTAAAACAGTGCCAACTGGTGTTCCAGGTGAAGCACCCTCTTTTACACTGAAGTGGTAAACATTAGTAAAAACTGGAGAGTTATCGTTTACATCTGACAAGTATATATTCACATTTGTTGAGGTTGACACCTGACCATCAGCACCATCAACTAAAAGTACCACTAAAACAAAAGTTTGAATACCTTCTTCATAATCAATAACTCCTGTTACGATTATATCACCATTTTCGGACAAATTAAATTTACTTAAAGTAGTACTTGACATTGCTGTGTAATTATAAATAAACTTTGGAGAAACTCCGTCAGCATCAAATGCTGTTAGCTTCAAAATTGAAGTTCCAGTTAAAATCTTTTCTTCTATATTTACAGAGAATGCTTTTTGAGTAAAAACTGGTTTATTGTCATTCAAATTATTAACTTCTATATTTACTATAGCACAACCAATTCTTGACTCAGCTGATGGATTAAGTTGTTTATAATCAATGGCATTATCTGAAGCACACACAGAGAGATTATAGTATGCAGTAATTTCATAGTCAACTGGGCTCTTAACATAGATGATCCCTGAACTCAGTATTCCAAAAGGAGACTGATTATTTAAAATGAAATAATTTACTTGATTATTTGATGCAGTAACATCATTATCAATGGCAAAAACATTTCCTAATGTGGTGTTAAATGCTGAATTTTCATCAATTTTAAAAAAGTAGACTGAGGATGAAAACTGTGGAGAGTTATCATTCACATCAATCAAATAAATAATGAGATGAGTTTCAGTTCCAAAATTTGTGCCATCATATGGATTTACATATAAATCAAACTGTTTTTTTTCCTCGTAATCAATTAGACCAACTGCAGAAACAGTCAGTACACAAGTATTTTGATCTAAACTAAACCTTCTAGAGTCTGTGTAAGTGTTATTTAGTATGCACTGCAGTGTGTTCACTGAATTACTATCTTTGTCTTTTGGAAAAAATGTAAATACTTTTAGCCCTGTAGGAGATTTTTCTGAAATGTCAATACTTAGCAACAAATTTTCAAAGTAAGGCAAATTGTCATTCAAGTCATTTATAGCAATGGTTACAAAAGTGCACCCTACGCGTTGTTCATTTGCAGGGAAAGTCTGAGTAACATCAAGTGCTTGATCAGTTGCACATATAGTTAAGTAATAAAAAGCAAGACTTTCATAATCAAGTACTCCAACAACTGTTAATGTACCTGAGACTTGATCAACCTTAATAGTATTTGCATATCTATTGTTCAATTCAAAATAGAGTCGTGGTGATGCTGTCTTATCTAAGTCTGTTGCATTAACATTACCAATAACAGTACCAATGACAGAATTCTCATTCACTGTAAATAGATAACTTGAGTTGTCAAATATAGGTGAATTATCATTTGTGTCTTTAACACCTATAATTAATCTTGAAGAACCACCATATTTAAATGGTGCTTCAGAATCTCTAACAACTACATAAACAAAATAAGGAAGATTAACTTTATCTGGATCATCATAGTCAAACTTTTTTCCATTTAGTGTCAAAAGTCCGGTAGCTGGATTTAAATTAAAAAGCTTCATTACAACAGAAGATGTTAGTGATGTGTTAAACTCAAACGTTGGTTTTGAACCATCAGCATCAACACCAAGAAATTGATATGCAAGATTAGTCACTTGTTTTTCTGATAAAGTCAAAAAATAATTAACTGGTGATATAGTTGGAAGATTGTCATTTAAATTTATAACATTAATTTGGACAAAAGTGCAATTAGCACGAGCATCTGTAAATAAAGTTTGCTTATCTGTTGCACAAACAGGTAAACCATATTGCTTTTGAACTTCAAAATCAATTTTTCCATTAACGATGATCATTCCTGTGTTAGGATCTATAGTGAAAATGTCATTATAAATACCAGAAAGAATATAATATGTGATATTTGAATTTGTAGAGCTAATGTCATTATCTATAGAACTGACTTTTCCTACTACAGTACCAATTTCAGCATTTTCGTCTACTACGAATGAATATTGAGTTTGTGAAAACTTGTTAGTGTTATCATTAAGATCAAACACAATAATATTTACCCAAATCGATCCTGTCAATTGACCCTGATCAGTTGCAAGGACTTGAAGTACATGAAACTGTGATTTTTCTGCATCAATAGAAGAGTCAGATGGAATACTTTTAGGAGTTATAATCCCTGTATTGCGATTAATAAAAAACTTTGAAGTATCAACAGGAGATGCACTAGCATTAAAAGAATAAGTTATAATATCATTGTCCAAGTCAGTTGCACGCATTTGACCAACCTGTTGTCCATTGAACATTGGTTCATTAATAATAAAATATATACGATTTTGTGGAAATCTAGGTGCATTGTCATTAACATTTAAAATATTGATAACAACATTTATTCCTTTTTCTGAAGTTTTTTCTTGTATCATAAACACATGTTGAGGATTACCAGAATCTGCATCTAAAGGTTTATTGACAACAATACTTATAATGCTTGCATTAATAAAAAGAGAAAATGACCCATCGTCTTCAACAATTTGGAAAACTGGATAATAACTTGAATCATTTTGAAATGTTATTTGTCCCACTGTGGAGTTAATAGGAGCATTTTCATATACATAAAGATTGATATTACTCCTGTTAAAATTGAAACCTGAAAATAAAAATAGTAAATGTAAAAAAGGTGAATAGAGTTAAGGTAAAATAAAATCATATCAAATCAGATATTGAATTACTATTAATTATGTAATTATACTAATTATGTTAAATTATTTAATAGCAATAAACCGCAAAAATTTTCTTTAACATAATTTGATTTTTATAATTACCTATTTTTTTTTAATTAAGGTATTTATAATAATAACTTTTAAGACTTCTATTAGTTTTAACTGTTAATTTTTATAACTATTGAGTTTACAGGAATAGGGAAAAGAACATCACCAAGAAATGTCTTTTTGAAATTTTTTGTTAGAAATATTATTTATAAATGTTTTGTTCTTTTTAAGAAATTACCTGATAAACAATATATTAGTTTAACAGAGAATCGATGAAAAAAATATTTTGACAAGTATTCAAAAGACACCATGCTTTCAAAATATGGGAATTAAAAGATAAAAATATTTGTAATTTTATATTAAATTGGTCCATCATTAAAACAGCACCTCCATATAATTGATCCTCCCTTACAACAGCACCTGCATATTGCAATGTGCTGCATTAAAGCCACACCTTTATAAAAGAAAATATTCATGATTCATTTCAAATTTTGCAAAGAACACAAAGATTGAACCTGACATTTGCAAACAAAGCACATGTTAAGCACATGTTAATGTTTGCTGGCAACCAAACTTGTCCTTTAAATCACCAATAAGCTGCACCTTCTGTAAAGCTATGACCAGAAAATATAATTTGGGATGCAATCACTGAGAGCAGTCACGATGATTTATCCTTTTTGTTATGACGCAAATAATTTGGAAATAAAATGTTTCTTGACTCACAGCTGAATAACTCACCCAATTAAAACCCTATCAAAAACTGTTGGATAAAAATGAAAGCAGAGTTTTCTAAACAGAACCCAACTTTACCTAATAGATCTAAGAAAAGCCATAATGAAAGCGTGTTGCCATTAAAAAAAACTGAATATTATAAGCCTCTTATTGCCTCAATACCACCAAAAACAGAGGCTATTTTTAAAGTTTGAGAACACAAAGTACTAAAACATGTTTAATGTGGCTAATATATATATATATATATATATATATATATATATATATATATATATATATATATATATATATATATATATATATATATATATATATATATATATATACAAATAGTATTGTGTACTAAGGTAAGCAATCTGACGTCATACTGAAATAGTCTGCTGCTAGGGGCTTCAGTACATACATCGACTGACAAATAGTCTGACTCGTAGTGGAGTGCTGCTACATTGACTGAGGGTTTGGAATGGGGAAGCAATCGTTTCATTCATAATTCTTCGTTTTTCCTTCTTCTTTTTCGAAAAAAACGGTACAGCTTAAGGTAAGCAGAAAAAGTGAACAAATGCTTATCAAAATACGCTTTAGTAAGTGTATATATATATATATATATATATATATATATATATATATATATATATATATATATATATATATATATATATATATATATATATATAAATTTGAATTTCATAAAATTGCTTTAATAAATTTGAATTGCATTGTCAAGTTTCTTTTACTAGAAATGCTAGTCTACAACTTCATTAAATGACTCCATCATTCTAGAAGATTTATGATAATTAATGGCACAACCATGCCCTACTGTCCAGGAGTTAGACTTTGGTTGATTTTTTTTGCATTTTTCACAGTTCTCGTTATTTGTAGCATTTTAAATGGACTTCTACATCAATTCTCTTTATATTGTCAAATTATTAATGTGTGTCTACATGTTTGCAAAAACCATCGATCCAAACATGTATTTTTTATTGTTTATTGATATTTTTACAAGTTAGAAGCTTAGTTATAAGATGAGAAAAAAATTTAATTAAATAAGAAAGATTCATTTGGTAACTTACTTTATTTTTAATCAAAAGAAATAATTAATAACAATGAATCGTTTTAGAAATGGAAATTTTTATTTTGAAAATTTTAAAAAACAAAATAATTATCAATTTGTTCATCATGATTACTTTTAATTCTATTGGCAGTAACTAGTTTTTTAGCATTGAAACTAGAAGAAGGCAACTGATGAAGACAGATAAGTCTTTTCTATCTTCATCAGGAGTAGATATAGAGAAAAAAAAGTTAGGAGATAAGCGAGGGAAACCGAAGAGTGGAATAAATTTCATTTTAATATTATCCATTCTACTTTTATTTATCTTTTTGGTAAATTTTTTTTTTTTTTATCACAAATTAATAGTTATTTACAAATTTTTATATACTATTTTTGCATAATGAATAAGCATATCCTCTCTACAAATATTTTTAGTTTTTTCTCGTTTTTAATAAATACTTCCGTTTTTATATTTTTATAATATTAGTTCATAATATTAAAAAAGGTTTTCCACATAAGTTTTACATTGATTTTTTTAAATGTTTTTTATAATATATATACTTAAATTTTTACAATAACTTTTTGACTTTATATATATATATATATATATATATATATATATATATATATATATATATATATATATATATATATATATATATATATATATATATATATATATATATATATATATATATATATATATATATATATATATATATATATATATATATATATATATTATATATATATATATATATATATATATATATATTTGTTTTTTAATTTTTTATTTCTTTAGTGTTTTTTAATTTTATATTTTTTTGTATTTTTAAGTTTTATATATTCTTATTGTGTGTTTTTTGTTTTTTGTTTTTGTGCCGTTGTGCGGAAAGAAATCTAGAATAAGAAAAAAACTTTAGAAGTTGTATAAGAATAATTGATTATTTTATGGGAAGAAAGAATTTATTAAGTAAAATAAAAATAAGGTAAAGGACTTTAACACAAATACCACGTTACGAAAGCTACAGAGAAACATGCAAATAGTATTATATATCATAAACTAAGGGCTGGCAGTGATTTTCTAATCATATATAAAATTTTGTTGTATAAAAAAAAAACATCGGCAGAGAAGAGGAAATTTTAACTAAACATGTAGATCATGCTATGAGCTGATGTTTTTTTTTTGCTCATATGTTTAGTTTCAGATTTCCATTCTCTACTAGGCAAAAAATGTTATTAATACAAAAATATTGACAGAGAGTGTCCGCAGTGTTTCTACGGACATGATAATTATATTTTGAAGTAATAATATTTCTGATATTCTTGATTATTACCCGATCACTGCCATTGGGTCAATTTTTTTGTTTCTAAACATGTGGTGACATCTATTGTTCCATATTGCACTAATTATGGCTTGAATGAGTGTCAACAGCAGCTGTGAAGTAGGGTTTTTTTCCGATAAATTCGCTGTTTCAATCAAGAAAATCGAATTTATCGGAGAAAATTTTTTTTGGGGTGTTTTATATATGTTTTAAATACTCCTATATTTTAACAGAAAGAGGACAGTAGGCAAAGATATGAATGTTGTCCTCAATTTTGCCACAAGTTTTGCATTTGTTATTTTTAACAATCTGTTGCCTTGTGCTTTTGGCTAGCAAGGCCGCAGAAGGTAAACTGTTGTGTAGAAATCAAAAGAGGATATTTTGTGTCTGTCCGTATGCGTGGTAGGCTAAGTTTTTTTTCCAAATTTAGGCCTACGGCATTGTTGTTTTTGTTGAACCGTTCCAAAAAAGTTCTGCTGGCACGACTGTCTTTTTGTTTTTTGCCACTTCTAAATAAAAATTTTTTGTTGATTTTAGGAGGATGTTAAAAAGGGACCCGTTTTTGCCTAATATTTCAATTGTTGTTTTGTAGTACTGAGACATTTTGGTGTCCCAGTGTTTTGGAAAATTATTCTGTTTCAAATAATTCCAGCTTTGGTTTTAGTTTGTAAACTTGATAAGTGAACTTGTTAACCAGTACTTTGGTTAGTAGTAATCGTGAGTTTTATCCTCTCCGCATTTTTTCAGTTGAAAGAGTGTTTTGAGGCGAAGTGCTAGGCTTTGTTAGATAAATAAGTTTTTTAGATTGTTAGATAAATAAGGCTTTGTTAGATAAATAAGTTAAAAGCGTAAGTACTCAAAAAAGCGTATTGCAAGATGGAGGGTTGGGGGTTGACAAAAGAAAAACGCACGTACTTTATGGACGACCCCTTATCTTCTTTTATTTATTAAATGAAGTTTATGGCCAGTTTAATTCAGATCCAAAAGACTGCTTTGGGATCTTCCATAAATTACGCCACGCTAAATTTAAAATAAAAATCTTATAAAGTTTTATTTGGCTGAGTCTTTAATTAAAGCAAAAATTCAAACAATTCTTTAAGTTCAATGAAAATCGCCGCGCATAAGAGCAAATAACTTCTTTTTTTTTTTAATTTCTATTAATAATATATTATTTATTAATAATTTATATATTTTATATACAATTTATATATAATATAATACATATAATTTATATATAATTAAATATTATTAAACTTTTATTTTTTAAATAAATTTAGCGTTGCGTAATTTATGGACGATCCTTTTCACGGATTTTTTTTTTTATTATTTTATCTTTTTGAGGGTATTAAGGAGCTCCCAGAAGTCTTTTCGGTCTTATAACAGAGCTCCGCAAAAAAGCATTTTACTAGAAAGTTCAAGTCTCCTTCCTTACCAATACCGCTTCATGGGCTAGAGCCGGTGTTGAACCTTGGAGTTTTTTTTTCTGAGCCAGAACTCTTACAAATGCTTTATAATTTACTTTGTAAGTCTTTACAATTTACTTTGTAACTCTTTGTAACTCTACAGAACTCTTACTATGCTTTACAAATACTTTGCGGCTATTTTTATTTGATTCTTTTAGCGATCGTCCATAAAATACGTAATGCAAAACTTATTTAAAAAATATAAGTAGGAAATCATTTTGCTTTTTTGCGCGGCGGTTTTCGTAGGACTGGAAAGGTTCTTTATATATACTTGGTTTAATTAAAGACTCTGCGAGGAAAAACCTTTAATCATTTGACTTCAGTTTATAAGTTTAATTTCTCTTTACGTAATTTATGGACGATCCGTTATTTGATGTCTCCACCAGAGCCTTTGATAACGCAGATTTGGATTGTTTGTTTCAATAGTCGCAGTCTTACAACAAAGACGAATGAGGATTGCAGAACTGCAACGGTTCATAAAAATTTTATTGTATTTTTAATGATGTATGAAAGTCAAATTCCATTAAAAAAAAACTGTAAATAAATTATACTTAAAGAAACTTACCACAAAATCAGAGGTAAAAAAGGCAAATTTGAAAAAAATCAAAACACAGTTTCTGGATTAATTTTGGTTTAAACTCAAATTTTTTTTGTCTAGAGCTTCGTTACATTATTATTATTATTTTTTATTTGTTTGTTTACATTTAACGTAATATATATAAATTACATATTTTCCAAATACAAACAATTATTATCATTCATTTCTACTAAAAGAATGAAAAAATAATTAAAATATCAAAAACAAAGTTTTCCGAAAAATAGAAATTATTAGCAAAAAAATGAAACTTGCCAATAAAAAAAGTTTAAGTAAGGTAATATTAGTAAACATTTTATGCAGAATGTACATATTCTCTTAAAGAATGATCAATTTTGCATCAAATGGTATATTAAACAAAATTTTTTTTTTTTTTTTTTTAATAGAGCATTTTTTTTATAAAGGTCACTACAATAAAAGCTGTAAATGCAATTTCACAATTGTTAATGATAAGTTATATACATGCTAAGTCTAACTCCTCTCCTTATAAAAAGTCTCAAACTATTGATCTAATATTGTCAACCAACTTTCCAAGTCAAAATATTTTTCAGCCATTCCTCCTTTCAAGAAGCATTAATTAAATCAAATATTGTTTGCATATTTGCTTATCATTTGAGTAGAAAACCGGACTCATTTGAAAATCACAAATGAAATATAATCTGGTACAAGCCACCTTTGAGTACTAATGTTGCAGCAAAAATAGGCAGTCGTTTTTTTTTCTTCACTTTTGGGTGGTCATAAACTTTGCGAGATATTTAATTCAAATACAATTAAAATAAGCTACTTATGTATGCTAAACATCAAATCAATCGTTAATTCGCACAAATACACGATATTATTTTACCAAGTTACGACTGAGGAAAAAACATGCAGGTGGGTCAACAAATCCTTCTGCCCCATGAGCAATCAGTGGTTGATATAGAACAACATTTATCAAGCCACTGAGTAAACCAGACTACATAGAAAGAGTAAAGTTTGGGTTATGAGAAACTCCATAATTGGAGTTTTACATAACCCAAATTTCAAGTAAATCTCTGTATGCTAATCACCTAAAATCTTTTAATATTATTAAAAATAAAAATGACATTGAGTTGTCGAAAGAAATTTAAGACATAAAAGACAAAAGCCTTGGCTATTCTCCCCCATGGCTAAGCAGTTGTTGGTGCCAGCAATAATGGCAGGGTTAAATAGTAATTGGAGGGGATGGGCCTCCGACCCACGGCATTGTATATATATATATATATATATATATATATATATATATATATATATATATATATATATATATATATATATATATATATATATATATATATATATATATATATATATATATATATATATATATATATATATATATATATATATATATATATATATGTTTTTTAAATATAATAGTTAGAGTATATAATAGAAATTATATTAGATTTATGTAATGTAAGCTTTACTTACGTAATTATACGAAACTAAGATTACGTAAATTCAGTAAAAGTTCAAAAGTAATGTTACGTAAAAAATATATATATTATTACGTAATATTTACACACACACACACACACACACACACACACACACACACACACACACACACACACACACACACACACACACACACAAGCACAGACATATAAACAAACACACGCGCACACGCTCACATATATATGTGTGTGTGTATGTGTGCTTTGAAAGATGTTTTTATTTTAATATTTAAGTTTATATTATCTAAATTTAAAATGTTTTAAATTTTTTTCGGCTAAAGTTTTTACCAGAAATATAATATTAGACTTGAAATTAAAAGTACGAAAAAATGATAGAATAAAATAAATGTTAAAGAACATGACATCAAAAGTTGGAAATATTTGTGTCTTATGTAATAAATTTGATTGTATAACGCGAAAATGTACACGTTATAAAATTAAATATGTAACTTTCAATTTTATTTCATCAAAAATGAAAGTAATTTTTAAGCACTAATCATTATGAATCATCAGAGTTAAGTTATATTTCAGAATCACATAGTAATCCAAACGATGACTAGTGAATCAGATGACCCTCTTTTAAATAATTTATAAATATAATAAATGCACTTTATGATTTCTTGGAAACATAACTTCTTTTTGTTTTTTGCTGTTGTAGAAAATTTACAATTTTAGTAAACAATTTTAAAAATCAAACAATGGAATAATATTTTATTTTTCATGTTTCAATTTATTTTATTTATAAAATTTTTACATATAATAGTTTTTATTATATATGTTGTTATTATTCTACATTACTTATTTGCAATTTAAGAACTAAGAAAATAAAAGAACCGAAAATCAATGTTATTTGGGTGTAGTTAATGTATGTTATTAGGTGTGATTGATGTTTATAATTGGGTGTAATTGATGAGTTAAAATTAAGTGTTAATATTTATTTGAAAAGTAATTATTTTAGGTCCATCAAACTACTATTAAACGCTATACAAGGTTAAAAAACATATCTAAAACAAAATTACACCACTTACCAGTACTTTCGCTTAACAAGTTTAAAACAATGATTGCTAGCAAAGCACACTTCATGTTTCAAGAAAATGTTCAGAAACACGCATTGATTGTGTGAATATTATTTCGATATATGTCCAACCAAAACTTCAATTATAACTTTAAAGCGTAATTTTAAAACTCTCAACCACTAAAAGGTATTCGTTTTACAATGAGTCATCATATTTTCAAAATTCATATGTCAGTGCATATTAAATAGTTTTGATTGTCATTCTTTATGGTAATTTATATATAAGGCTCATTATAATGTTATTAAAGCGTTTTAATACCTTTTTATATAAAATTCTATTATTCAGTAATCCATTTTTAGTGATTACCATTCTGTAACTATGGATTTTAGTAGAAAAATTGACGATTGGCATTGTAGAGGACTTAGTCATTTTAAAATGCTATACATTACCTAGAAAAGCAACTACCTTATGAAGTATTTATTTATGAGATTGCTTTTCAAAAAATTTTAACGTTTTTAAAAGTTTTTGATGGTGTTAAATGTTTTTTTTGCTAGACATCCATTTATAAGGAAAATAAAAATTGGTCAAAATTATAATCTATATAATTTTATAATTTTTAATTATAATAAAGTTTAAAACTTTTAAAAGTAATTAGTAGTTAAAGGTTTGAAATAATTGAAATAATTTTTAGCATTCTGCTTGTTAAAAAATTTTACCATTCTGCCTATTAAAAAGTATATATAGCAAATAAAAACTTGAACAGGGTGAAATTTTTTTTTGTTCTAATCAAAGTTTTTGCTTACGTTAGCTGCTATCAAAACTTTAACGCTTATGTTTAAAATAAAGAAACAATAGAAATTAAAAAAAGTTCTTTCATGAAAAATTTAGCTTATTTTTTATCATTGTATCAAAATCAATCAGTTTTTTAATCTTTTTAATCCAGTATCAAACTCATTACCATGGCCTCTTTGATATGTTCAAAAAAATTGAATAGTTAAAAACTTTAGACAGTTATATATATATATATATATATATATATATATATATATATATATATATATATATATATATATATATATATATATATATATATATATATATATATATATATATATATGAAATTAGTTTTTATAACTTATGAAAAAACTGTAAAATTTTTAAAAAGGTAGTCGAAGGAACTTTTTTAAAAGTGTTTATTATCCTCAGAGCCGTGGTTAGGCTACCCCAAACGCCAAGGGAGGGGGGGGGGGAAAGTCCTGCAAAAAATTAGGGGACCCATTTGCAAGTTTAAGGAGCTTTTTTTTTTTTTTTTACTATACCTCGTGGAAAAATTACTACGGCCTACGAACGACTGGCCACGCCACTGATTATTCTTACATTCAATTAGTCACTTTCTGTTCATAAAGCGTATACAAAATGTAAATCCAAGTGGTGCTAGTTTATTACTATAAATCAAAATAAAATTAATGTAAGACTACCCAGTGGGCACAAAACGTTCGTTGGACGTCTTAAAGATGTCCTACAAACTCGTGACGTTTTTGAAATGTCGTATAGACTTGTTAAAGTTAGTTTATGGCTGTAAATTATTTTAGTTAGTTTAATTTTTATAGTATTTTAGTTTATTTAGTTTTTTTTTTAATCTATATATTTTTCTTATTGTACAAAACTCATGATAAAGTTCTCTTTCTACATCGTTAAATGAAATTAAACTCTCATTATAATTAAACTTGCTATTCGTTTGCAACAGCTGGCGTTATTTTGTTTACATTAAAAAAGCTTATTTTGAATACAAAGCTGAGCTATATTGCAATCTTCTTTGGCATATTTAAATCCTCTAGTTTCAATTGGTTAAGTCAAATAAGCCAATCGCAAATAAAAATAGGCATATTGGCGCTACATTTAAAAGCCATTTGATTATCAGAGGTTTAGTATCCAATCCCATTTTTATGATTCTTAGCTCTCAAACTACTTACAACAACTTATTTGTAGCTATTTAAGTTTTTAATTTGCTACTTTAAATATTGATTCAAAGATTGACAGGGTTTTCTTATAAGTTAAAAAAGTTTCTCTATTTTTTTTTCTTTCTTAATTCAAAAGATTTTAATTTTTGTTTAATGGAAAATACGAAAGGATTTTCAAGTAGTTGAACTAAGCAATATGATTACCAAAAACGCTTAAAGGCGAATATATATCTAAACGCTTGCCCTGCTCTTCTGAGTTAACTTCCGTGTTATCCTTGAATTCATCAACGTGAGTTTTGAAGAACATTCTGTATTCATCGTGGCGTAGATCTTTATGAGAATTTGAAACAGCTCCAAATAGTTTCCAGCACTGAAATTTTTAATTTTGTCAGCCATATAATAAAATTTACAATAAGAAAGATCGTACATATATAATAAATGGCCGGAGCAAGAAGAAAACATATTATGTATATCGTTTATCGCCGAGCCCCGTTAACACTGCCGCCCTCAGTTTATGTTACAAGCTAAAAATTAAAATGTTAGAAAATTACAAGTTAAAAATTAACAAGCAAAATGCAATATTATTCCGCAATATATTACAAATGGTAAAATGTATTATAAGTTTTTATAAAGAAACTATGGAATATATTTTTTTTATTTTATAATAAATAAATGAGTATTGATGATTTTTTTAAATTTAATTATTTTAAGCACTACTTTTAAAATAACTAAATAAAAGGAAATATTTTTTTTATAAGAAACGCTTAGGTTCTCATTTAAAAAAAGAAAAGTTTTGAAGAGATTTATTATCTTAATATTATTACTGTAATTTGATAGAAGTAGTGTCGTTTCAATTTTTTTTTTTTAATAGTTTTAATTAGTTACTAGGTTTTTCTGAACTTGAAAGAACGCGTTCCGAATATACACACTGTCATTTTAGAAATATCGGCGGACGTGTATTTCAGCCATCCCCCTTCAGAAATCCGTAAAAAAACTAGTCACGTTTTACAAATAACAATAATTGAAAATTATACACTAACCTTGAATCCAAAAATAAAGTTTATTTTATTGAAAGCCATACCCAAATCAAAACCTAAGCTAAACCTAAACCAAATTCGGAGCCTAACCCAAAGTTTCAGGGTTGGGGTTTGGTTAGGGTATTTTTCAACAATACTCGTTTCGTATAAGTCTTTTTTACGGATTTTTTAAAGGAAGGTGCCTGAAATACACGTCTACCAAAATATCTACCAAGTTATCAGAAACATCAATATCAAGCAAGTTAAAACTTTTTACTTTTTGGAATTTAATTATTAGGATTCGTCCATAAAATAAGTACGCAAAAAATTTGTACATGCGTACAAATTTGGTGTATGGAAGCGGAGTCCTTTCCTTAAATAGTTGTATAGGTGACTCTTTTTTAACTTTGATTGGTCTTCTAGGCAAATCCACAAAACTTCCATCAAAAGATAATTTGTATTGAATCGTTCCTTTGGGTTGATACTAGAAACAGCGAACATCAATGACACATGGGCCACCCTTCTTTTTTTCTGGACGAACTGAGTCGTAATAGCTTTTATTAGAGAAATTCTTGAAAAAGTGATATTTCAAGTATGTAGCTTCATAAGGAAAGGGAGTTTGCTGGGCCTCTTTAGTATATTTTACATACTCAAATGGTAGGTAGCCTTGATTTGTTTTTCATTCCTCGCATGCACTGATCTTCCTCCATTTGCGTATGGCCTTTCACTAGTATTTGTTATATTGATATTAATTTGGACAGCAAAGTGAAACCATCTGTGTACACTATAATGGAGCGGCAAGGAGATAGACAATGTTCCTTCAAATAATCAACCAAACAGAAGGCAAATGTGTTGACCGATAAATCCCCCTCTACTTCGGAAAACCAGTAACATTTGCAATGTTTATTAGCTAAGTTATAAACAGTGTAATTATGTGATTATAGCTTCGTCTTATAATACATGGCATTTGCCTTTGTCATGGGGGTTAACTTAACAGATTCCATGTCTGCCGTCAAGCGATATATTTCACCATCAACTGCCTTCTGTTTGTCACGTTCTTTTTTAGATCGAGCCCTATTTTTCTCAGTAATATGCTGATCCTAGCTTTCTTTTGAAACATTGCCTGCTTTGAATGCGTAACAAGTATAACACTGATCTTTTTTCAAGGATATTTTTAAAGGTATTTAAAAACATTTGTTTACAAACAGGTTTTAAATCACCAGTAGTAGTGATTTATAACCTGTTTGTAGTATTTAAATGAACCAGGCCTCTTACTTATTTTGTCTATAACAGTTTTCAGTTGTACATCAATTTTCTTCACGTGGTTGTGGATGTAAACTTGTTTTTCTTTCCAAGATAGTTGCCATAAAAAATATGAATAAATTAAGTCTCGTCTTTTCTGATATTTCAGCATATTTTCGTTATTTATTTGCTTTACAAACTTTGAAATTACAGATCCCATTTTTCTTTCTTTATGCTCCACTTCACTTCGTTTAACTGTAATTTTACCATTAATTTTGACTTTTTTATAGCCTAAGTACTTTTTTTTTGTTATTCTTAGTTTCTTGTAAACGTTAACATCCCAAGAAGATCTATCAAGCCGCTTATTTCTTTTCCTCTTGCCATTATTGCCTTTATCATTAAGTACTTCAACAGAACAAAAATCATCTTGAGATTTTCTTGCAAGTTCTTGGCAAATTAAATTGTCTGCATTGGGATTATTTTTGATATTTTGAGGATTGTTTTTATTTACGTTGTAGTCGGAGTCGGAGTTGGAGTCGGAGTTGGAGTCGGAGTTGTACTCAAAAAATTTCAACAACTGGAGTCGGAGTCGGAGTTGTACTTAAAAATTTAAACAACTGGAGTCGCAGTCGGAGTCGTTACTTTTTTTTTACGACTCCACACCCTTGGTTGCTACTGTAATCAATACTATTGTCAATGTTTGTAGCAGTTTTTTCTTTATCTTTTAAGTATAGAGAGCAATCAATAATAGGTATAGGTTAATCTCCTTCTCGTAAAACACCCTGATGGCTTGAGCCGGGCCAATTTAAATCCGTTTTGTTGACAGAAAAGATGACTTTTATTTGTAGGACGTCTTCAATACCTAGGCCATCTTTAAATATCACTTCTGTTTCATTTATCAATAGTCCAAATACTTGATTTCCTGTATTATCATTGTTGTTCAAAGTATTTATTCTTCGCAGGTAGTTCGCAGTATGCTCAGTTCCTGAAAAAATATTCGAGTGTTATTGTTGTTTTTTTAGATTAATTT